ATGGGATTTTATTTATGTGATGTCCATCGACAAATTGAAGATTTACATAGCCAGCAAATCGATCAATATCATGGGAAGACATTTCCACTTTATCGGGGCCAGGGATTACTGACGGAAGATTTCGAAAAAATCACTAAAAACAAAGGTGGACTTATTTCGTTCAATAACTTTTTATCCACCAGTAAAAATCGAAATGTCTCGCATTTTTACGCCGAAAGTAATTTAGGAGCACCCAACATTGTCGGTGTTCTTTTTCGAATTATCATCGATCCCACCGAGTCATCAACTCCATTCGCTTCGATTCGAGAACTGAGTGAGTTTGCACAAGAAGATGAAATTCTCTTCTCAATGCACACAGTTTTTCGAATTGGTGAAGTTCGAAAAATTGACAAGAAAAGTCCACTTTATGAAGTGGACCTGAAACTTACAGCAGATGATGATCAACAACTTCGTCGATTAACCAATCGTATAGCACAAGAGATCGATGGCAGTGGGTGGTATCGATTGGGTAAATTGCTGCTCAAAATAGGTCAATTCGACAAGGCCGAAGAATTGTATACCACATTACTAGAACAGGCATCGAACGACAGTGATAAAGCACATCTTTATCATCAACTCGGAGGGTTGAAATGGAACCTAGGACAACACAAAGAAGCAGTTTCATTTTATGAGACATCTCTCAAAATCAACCGAAAAATTCTCCCAGAAGATCATCCTTCATTGGCTATTATTTACGGCAATATCGGTCAGGCATATAACACCATGGGTGACTACTCGAAAGCACTGGAAATTTTCGAAAAAACAATTAAAATAAAAGAAAAGGTCTTATCTCCGAATGACCCCGATTTGGCTACTTCCTACAACAACATCGGTTTCGTGTATAACAACATGGGTGACTACTCGAAAGCACTGGAATTTTACGAAAAGGCATATCAAATAAAAGAAAACGTTCTGCCTCCGAATCATCCCGATTTGGCTGCTTCCTACAACAATATCGGTGCAGCATATAACGACATGGGGGACTACTCGAAAGCACTGGAATTTTACGAAAAAGCACATCAAATAAAAGAAAAAGTTCTGCCTCCGAATCATCCCGATTTGGCTATTTCCTACAACAATATCGGTGCAGTATATAACGCCATGGGTGACTACTCGAAAGCACTTGAATTTTACGAAAAAGCACATCAAATAAAAGAAAAAGCTCTCTCTCCGAATTATCCTGATTTGGCTTTTTCCTACAACAACATCGGGGTCGAATATAACAACATGGGTGACTACACGAAAGCATTGGAATTTTACGAAAAAGCACTTAAAATAAGAAAAAAAGCTCTGCCTCCAAATCATCCCGATTTGGCTTCTTCTTACTCCGATATCGCTCAAGTGTATAACAACATGGGTGACTACTCGAAAGCACTGGAATTTTTCGAAAGAGCACTTAAAATAAGAGAAAAAGCTCTGCCTCCAAATCATCCTCATTTGGCTAATTCCTACAACAACATCGGTGTCGCATATAACGACATGGGTGACTACTCGAAAGCACTGGAATTTTACGAAAAAGCACTTAAAATAGAAGAAGAAGTTCTGCCTCCGAATCATCCCAATTTGGCTTCTTCCTACTCATGTATCGGTGGAGTCTACAACACCATGGGTGACTACTCGAAAGCACTGGAATTTTTCGAAAAAGCACTTAAAATAAGAGAAAAAGCTCTGCCTCGGAATCATCCCAATTTCGCTTCTTCTTACTCCTGTATCGGTGGAGTCTACAACACCATGGGTGACTACTCAAAAGCACTGGAATTTTACGAAAAAGCACATAAAATCTTCGAAAAAGCTCTGCCTCCGAATCATCCCAATTTGGCTTCTTCTTACTCCTGTATCGGTGAAGTCTACAACACCATGGGTGACTACTCGAAAGCACTGGAATTTTATGAAAAAGGACATAAAATCTTCGCAAAAGTTCTGCCTCCGAATCATCCCATTTTCGCGTCTTCTTACTCCTGTATCGGTGGAGTCTACAACACCATGGGTGACTACTCGAAAGCACTGGAATCTTACGAAAAAGCACTTAAAATAAGAGAAAAAGCTCTGCCTTCGAATCATCCCGACTTGGCTACTTCCTACAACAACATCGGTACCGTGTATTACAACATGGGTGACTACTCGAAAGCACTTGAATTTTTCAAAAAATCACATGAAGTCTTCCAAGAAACTCTACCTGCGAATCATCCAATTTTGGCTTATCCATTCAAATGGTTCGGGAAGATTTATCGCAGTATGAAAGATTATCCAACAGCACTTGAGAATTTCGAAAAGTGTCTCTCAATACGTCAAAAAGCTTTATCTGAAAATCATCCAGATAAAGCTACTACATATAGTGACATTGGTGATGTTCATCGATTAATGGATGATTATGAAAAGGCATTGTTATTTCATAGAAAAGCATTAAATATTCAAGAAAATGTTCAATGTAATCCTCTCGAATGTGCAACAACATATATAAATTTAGGTGAAACTTATCGAGAAATGAAAGATTATTCAACAGCATTGACATATTTTCAAAAAGGATTAGAAATACGTCAGAAGAAATTACCAAAAGATCATCCTGATTTAGCTGTTGTATATCATAATATGGCAAAATTATATTTATCTACTCGACAATATAATATGGCAATGAAAAATATTCAACAAACAATTGAAATTGCACAAGAAAAATTACCTTCAACTCATCCTCATCTTTTGGACTATAAAGAAACATTTGAAAATATTAGAAAGAAAATGTAATTTATTCTTTTTGTTTGCTCAATAAATTCATTTCGATTGCTATTCATTTTATTTTTCGGCTCATTTTCGCGTACGCGCGCGCGCGACCAGGGAGAGACCCTGTAAGCCTGAAATGGGTACACGCAGAGCGGACTACGCCGGACTGGTAGGGCATGATCATAGGTATGACGTACATAAAGACGACAGGGACCTACGAACAGAAAGGCCTTCCAGAGTACAACACTGCTTTCACCATAACAGGCACAAGGAATCTCCCTGGGTCAGATCACGAAGCCATCTGACAGGCTGTCATAGAAAGAGAAACAAAAATAGATAAAGCTCCTCCAAAAAAAAAAACTTTTCTACCTTGAAAAGTTCTATTGGCCACTAGAACTTTTCAAGATAGAAAATTTTACTATCCCTCTCTGCTACTTCTTAAGAGAAAAAAAAATATAAGCAACATAATTTATTAATAATTGAAATATAAAATATAAATAATAATATATATATATATATCATTGACATAACGTTATGTAAATATAA